GCGAACACGACCGTACACGTGCACTGATAGGATCACTAGGTACACCTTTTTTTACTCATATTTGTCAAGCTGTCAAAGTGAGTAAGAAATGATGATCGATTAAATGATCGATAATGATCGAAGAAATGATCGATAACTAACCTGTACTCGAGCTTCGGTCAGAGTCACACGTTGAGCCAATTCTTCTCTGAAAATAGGAGATTGAGTGATAGTGTGGGAACCATCTATAGCTATAGTATCAAGAGGCAGGAAAAGGACCCTATTCAAGGTCATGTTCGGAGGATCGTACTCCTATCAGCATAGTTAAGTTTTCTTTCTTTTTTTGGGCAATATTCGATACCTAATATTCCGTTGGAATCAAAAATTAGAACTTGTACAGTGGCTCTTGTTTCCAGGCAGGACACGTATGGGATTCCCTGTAAGGGGGAAGGAGGTCGCATACGGTCGCTGAAGGGAGGAGGACAGCATTTGCCTTACTGAAAAATACTTTTGGATTTTGTTTCGAGGAACAAGAGGTAATCGCTGGGGTCATGCTCCGGAAAAGAGGTAGGAAGTCCAAGAATCAAGGAAAATGAGAGGTAGGATGGTAAAGCGAAGGGGGGGGGGTCGTGCGAGGGATTGAAATTTTGAAGAGGAGTCATTTCTTGCAAAATTTTTACCCAAAGGCATGGCGTACCCTGTTCTTAGGTCTTGCTTCCCTATCTCTCTAGCCGCTGCTCCAGGGGTTGCCCAACCCTGGAACTTCACTCCCTTACTCCAACTCCCTTACATGTAGTGTTTCATTGAATCGACCGTATTCATCGTGTCCAAATCGTATTTTAATGTCCGTCCAGTCGATTGTGTTCAAACAGCGGCACGGTAATTGATTTGAGCAGCATCGCTAATTGATTGCTAACAGGTGGCGGTGGGTCTTTTCGAACGATCACTCTCCCAATTAGACCACCCTCAGCTATGATCCCTCCTCCCCTCCCCCCCAACGTGGGTATGCCCTGTGTGTTTCCTGAACGAGTAAGTAATAAAAGTACATCAAAGGGGCGTGGTATAATGGATTTCAATGGCGCTACTATCTCATCACGAACGTCATCACTTGAATTACATGTCTATTAGGCGACAACGAGATTAGTACAAAAATAAGTTCATTATATGAACTAAAATTAGATTGTCGTACATCTTACAAGTTCTACTTGTAAGACATTGTAATCGTGCTGTACTTATCTATTGTTAATGGTGTATAGATGGATTATATATTGTACTAGTAGTAGTCATGTCAAAATTGTGTCCAACCCCGTTTGATTCACGAGGTAAATGCAATAATTAATAGTCGTCAAGTCATCAACAATAGTCAATTAGGCTCGCACGCAAACGGCGGAGCGATATTTGATGCGTATGCGTGTTACGCTAATTGCTTTGAAGGACTTGTAAACGATTTCTGTGACGACGCCAATGTAGAAAGGAAAATGACGCGAAATTACACGACATATAGACGATGGCCTCCTCCCCTTCATTCAAGGGCTAAAGGGTTGAGCATGAAGCTCTTGCCTACCAGTAGTCCCTTTCTGGGACGCTTTCTTCTTCCATTCTGATAGGCAGTGGCTTATTCGAGAAGATATGGCCCAAAGAATTGCAAGGGCCACCCAATGTACAAGACAGTGTTCTCCTCCTCCCTTGCGACTACGGTACTAATTTACGACTAATTGGCCTGGAGGGAGCCGATCTGAGTTTTGACTGAGCGTACGTGGTAAGCAGGCCGCTTGCCAAGACACCACATCCGCCTGTTCAAGAGTTGACCGGGAAGTGGCACATTTTCTTGTTCCATTTGGGGTGGCAGTGGCTTATTAAATGCGTAGCCCAATAACTTGCGGGGCCAGCCGATCAGGGCACGTCCGTTGGGACGTTTTTGAAAACAGAACCCTACCCCTACCTCGAGATTACCGCTTCTGGTACGACCCTCCCCCAACTCCCTTCTTCATCCCCTATCATAACAACCCTACCCCTTCCCATGCCCTACCATAGCGACCCTCGGCGATCCCTCTCCCCGTACCCTATCATAACGACCATGACCCCCCCCCCCCCCCCCCCCCCCCTTCCCAGTCCCTATCATAACCTTTTGAAAAAGAAAAACCAAAACCGAGAGGAAAGTCAACAATACCGAAGTTATTCTGCTCGAGGGCAGATACGGACCTCCCTCCCTCCTGCGACCAGATATGACCCCCTTCCCCCCTGCCCTCCCCAGGGATCCCCAACGTGCGACGTACCCTGCAGCCGATGTTCACTTATAAGAAACTAAGGAGTTATCAATTGAAAGTTGGTACCAGAAATATGGGTGGTCCGTTTCACACCTCGACACGGACGAAGCACTTTATTCCCACAGTCCTCGGAGGCTAAGTGAGGAGGGGACAGATATAGGAGAAAGGGTGGTTAAAACATTGGTTGAAAAAATTGAGTTAGTATTCAGGAGTTAAGAGGTCGGTGTTCTTATCTCTCAGGCGAATACGGTACTAATTTACCGACGTTTGGCCAGGGCGGAAGGGGATCCAGGAGTTGCCACCGTGCTGGCGCTTCCCACCGCACCAAGAACTAAGTACCCAAAAAATGGCCTAAAGGTGCTTATGGTCCTGTCTTTTCCCCGATACTCGCCGCAATCACCATCCTGGTCGGTCCCTTCACGATGCGACGACGATGGCATCGTGCGAATGTCGCTCATTATCGCACGGCGATTACGAGCGACAGCTGTTGTTGAATTTCGAACAACGCTATGTGAGACGAGAAATGAACCGGGTCGTATGGTAGAAAAACGAGGAAATTAGTAGTCATTCTTGTTAAGGATTTCCTCACTGAGGGGGAGGGGGGAGGAGGGTGATCTCTGTCGAAGAGCATCTTCCATTAAAACTATTGCCAACGGATATTAACATGATTAGTGAGGGGTATGGCGTCATTACACGGCACAGGGTTATCATTATAGCAGATATGAGAGGAGGAAGATCTATGATGAGCACGGGGGGTTACTGGTGAAGCACATATTCTCTGGGAGCGTTATTCATAGATCCGATGGGATTGAAAATCATAACAGGACCTTCCAGATTATCTGCCGCTCAATTTTCAATTTTGTCATCTGCATATGTCTATGTGAGTCACATTGTCTTCAGCTGATGCTCAGTTAATGTCTATTGCGGCCGGCTTGAGCGCTATCTATGACGCGCGCGCTCGCCCCCTATAGCGTTGTCAATGTAGTCAAGAATTGACACTCAATTAGAGGCATATTCGCAGCACCAATATGTGAGAGTTTCATGCAATTTGCGCTATTACATAATGCGACAAAGTGAGCTTAATGGGGCAAAACGAAAGCGCTATGGATAGCGATCTCTTCAAGTATCGAAAGTCAACGGTAGTAACAAGATAGTGAACACAACTTTTCATACCGTAGGAAAACAAAAAAAACACGTAGAAATTCAAACCTTGTGAAAACATCGGGATAGTGTGTACGTGCGAAGACTTTTTCAAGTTCATCCAATTGATAGGCACTGAATGTCGTCCGATACCTGAAGGAGAACATCGTTGATAAGAAGCTCTGTGTGCACGTTTTTGCACGATTTTTTGGAACGTTTTTCAACTTGAAGTGGACGTACCTTCGCTGTTTTCGTTTGCCATTTTCATCAGGACTCTCACCACCATCGTCCGAGATATTCAACGAATCTCGTTGTTCCGATACTGACGGAGCAGCATCGTGCATAACTAAATACACGGGAGAAGCGTTTGAAGAAATGCATGAAAAAGGTGAGAAAATCGAAATGCTAAACGATAGCTGCAATTCTTCCTCACCTGGCTTTTCCTCTCGCCGTTCCTCCTTATTGTCCACTTTTGTAAGTGATGCAATTGCAAATGGACTATCAAATGGTACCGATGGCTTCACTAACAACGGTGATGTCACGCCAAATTGGGCCTGAACAGGAATAAAACCATGAATTTCCACCATCGAATAAAGTTCCAAAGGGTGTAGTCCCAAAGGGTGCAGTTCAGCTTCAGAAGAAGGGAGGCATTTCGCACTTTCGCTACTTCCTATTGTCATGTTCATGGCGTTACAAGAGCTGGCAGGTGTTCCTTACAAGATCTGATACGTGGTCCCTACAAAATTCACACTACATACCCCGAAGATAGAGTGGGCGTGACCACGTCTTCATTTCGACCTGGCAGCGGCTGCGCTTCTAGAGCAATAGCTTTCATTTTGGGACAGCTACAATCTGCCTTTGTCCCTTAGCTGATAGGACAGCAGTTACTCCAGACGGAAATATTCCAGGAAAAACGCGTCGTCGGCTATGTCAAGTAAGGTACGCAGCCACGCCCTCCCCACACTTGTGATATGGAATGTAACAGATATCACTTAATGACTTCAAGAAAAATGACAAAGATCTCCAGTTGCTGGCCCGATACAGTAGGAAGTTGCGAAAGTGCAGAATGCCCCCCCCAAAGCCAAACCTGTGCCTTCCAGAAGTCTCACCTGAAATTGTTCGAGTTGTTTGGCCATATCGGGTCGCATAACCAATTGAGCCATGTTCATGATGTTTGTAAAATCGTTGTTCTTTTGGCCAAATATACTGGATGGCTCGAATTTTTCTGCGGTACCCTGGGTGGAGACCTGCTCGGACATCAAAATGAGATCTAAAAAAAACTTAAAAATGTTATTAATTAGTCATAACAGAGAACGTGCAAATGTCGACGTATAACGGCTATTGTTAGCTGTAATAGGTAAGTACGAAGTTGGTAACAATAGGAATAAGGCGATGTAAAAGGAGAATGTTCAGAGCATTAATAGTTGACCACTAATTAGCATAGAGAACTATCACAACTGATCATCGCTTATAAGAAAAATACTAGTAATGATGAGATAATAATTGGAATGATTCCGATGTCAGCATGAAGTAGATGATGTGAGGAAGTAAGAGAGGATGAATGATGTAATATTGAATGTTCCTTTCCATTTTTTTCATCCCTTTGTGTACGGTGACTCTTTTAGCAGTGAAATTGGCATGCAAAGTGCTTCATCACATCATAAATCAACACCGCCGAAGGCCTCAATCTCGTGTGATATACGTAGCGCGATAAAATGAATTAAGCTCGGCTCCGTTTGTTTTAAATATAACTAGGCGACGCTTAGTAAACCTATATTTATTGATAAAAATGGACTTGAAATGGCAAAATGTAAAATTTACGGCTCTATAAAGCTAATTGATCGATGATAGATGTTCAGCAATTATTGTAGAGTTACTTCATTACTCAATTACTATTGGGGTGTAGGATGCGCGATGATGATATCCCTGGCGCCAAATTGCGCGCTAGTTGGGTAACCCAAGGGATATTATGAAAGAGGAACTACAACGGGGAAGTTTGTGCAATGCAAGAGGTAAGATTGAGTGCCGGCGGCGTTGAGTCTCAGTTGGTATATCCGCGATAATTGAATAAATTAATGAGATTGCGAGGTGGCGCAGCATTAGTGAGAATCATGGTTATTAATTTAACACTGCATAATTCGCGACCGTAATATGTGAAATGCATTTGTATTTGTGCACATTGGCACGTTTACTCGGACGCACGATATCCAATGATGTTCCACCATTGAAATTGTAAAATTACTGTACAACTGAAACCCTGAAACTATGACGATTTCCATCCACAAAAGCTGCAGCAACAACATAGTGAATTTGATCCACCTTGATCGATGTGGGTGGTCCAGACAAAGGTTTCTATGTCTTCAGGGCACGTCCTCTCGTGGGAGAAGTAAATTAAGACCTCCCTCCTTTGGCAAAGTACGACCCCACTCTCAGAATTCCTCCTATGCTACAACCCCCATTACCCACCTTATCTAGTATTTTACTGAATTTTCCTAGCTCGCTGGCCTCCTGCCACTTTCCTGAGGTTTTCAGGGTAGAAGAGATGTGAAAGGTATATTGCGCTTTTGAAACAGAACTTACAGGTCAACAACGGACTACATTTTTCTGGCAGTTCGGCGAGAGGGGGCATTTTGCACTTTTGCTACTTCCCTTGACGTGTCTACCTATCCAGGCACCCTCTTTTCGAGCAGGCTTTAAAATGATAGCTTGACGACCTTGCACCAGTTTCACAAGGGTTCACAGGTTTAACTAGAGTGGGAGTTGTAAACCGGAACTCGAAAAGAGGGTGTAAGGGAGTAATGAGAGCAAGGGAGTAATGAGAGCACAAAATGTTCGCTCCCTTGCCGAACTGTGCGCATTTTTCTCAAAGGCAAATTCTAACCCCCCCCCCCCCTCTTTCAAGCGACCAAATATAACCCTATGGCATCCCCAACGTAAGACGCGCCCTGATGCCTGTCTACGATAGTTGCCTGCATACTACATAGGTGGTGCCGGTGTTCCTCCCACGACTATCGCCCGGAAAAAACCTGCGTACCGTTTCCTCGAAAAAGTGCGCCGTCTATCACCCTTGCAAATCAAGCGCTACATTTACTTGGAGGTAAGTTATTTCTGACCCAGCAGAGAATATTGGACAGACTTCAGGCGGGGTTCTTAACGGGAATCCTCTTAGAAGCTCTCTCTACAAATTCCAATCTTTTTAGCTGCGCTCTTTTAGCGCGCTTGCGAGCGTGGGTTGATCCAAAGGCGATAAAATCTAATTCTAGTCTCAAGCTGAGCTATCAGAGCGACGAAGAGCACGTAT